CTCGCATTCTTTTCTAAGAAGTTGGAACCGGCTCAGACACGATACAGCACTTTTGGGAGAGAATTGCTGGCCATATATCTTGCAGTGAAGCATTTCAGTTACTTACTACAGGGCCGGCATTTCACTATTTTTACTGACCACAAGCCCCTGTGTCATGCTTTCACTACTTCACTTGATAAACACTCCCCTAGAGAAGCCAGACAGTTGGATTATATCTCCCAATTTTCAACCGACATTCAGTACATCAAAGGGGATGCGAACGTGGTAGCCGATTCTCTTTCAAGAAGTGACATTAACCAGCTCCAAACGTCGGTAGACATCAGTCTTGATCGTATGGCTCAATTACAAAAAGATGACGTTGAACTCCAAACCTGCCGCAGAAACTCTTCCTTACAACTCAAAGATGTGCCTATCCCCTTATCGGATGCAACCATAGTCTGCGATGTATCTACCGGCACTAATCGTCCATTTGTCCCTCTCAGTTGCCGAAAAGCATTGTTCGAACATTTACATTCGCTTTCCCACCCTGGAGTACGCGCCACGGTCAGGCTGATCGGCGAACGCTTCGTGTGGCCTAAAATGAACTCTGACATTCGGAGATGGGCACGAGAATGTATCCAATGCCAATGCTCCAAAGTACACCGCCACACTATTACAACCCCGAAGACGTTTAAATTACCCGAAAGGAGATTTCAGCATATCCATATAGATATCGTGGGACCATTGCCAACATCAAGGGGATATACACATATCCTGACAGCGATTGATAGATTTACTCGTTGGGCTATTGCATGCCCCTTAAACGACATATCTGCTGAAAACGTTGCTTTAGTTTTTCTCGACCGTTGGGTGTCAAACTACGGTGTACCAACTACTATTACATCCGACCGCGGTCCTCAATTCCAATCGACACTCTTTCGCGAACTGACGAGACTTCTGGGAGTGAAACATATCTCCACAACAGCCTATCATCCGGCAGCGAATGGTCTAGTGGAAAGATTCCACAGACAACTGAAAAGCTCCCTGATGGCGCAGAATGATACATCTAAGTGGAGTGAATACTTACCTTTGATTTTACTTGGTATCCGTTCTACTATCAAAGAAGATTTAGGATGTACACCGGCTCAACTTGTCTATGGCACCAACCTAACCTTGCCTGGACAGCTAGTCCCCTCAGCCGATTCCACAGACGTGAACATTGCCGACTTCACTAACCGATTAACTAGACAAATGCTTCAACTTCAACCAACAGCACCTCGACAATCTCCCCGAAGAGATCAGATCAACAAACATCTACAAACTTGCAAATTCGTCTTCATTCGAGTCGACGCCATCAGAAAAGGATTGCAACCTCCATACGAAGGACCCTTTCAAGTTATTAAACGTTCAGACAAACACTTTACAGTGAACAAGAATGGAAGACGAGAGACTGTTTCAATTGATCGAATCAAACCCGCATACACCGACAACGACTTCGAATCTACATCGGCAGCTGCGCAATCAAATAATCAAACATCCGAATCCCCTCCACCGGCACCAAGTCTTATCCTCCCTCCATATCACACACGTAGTGGTCGGCAAATCAGTAAACCGGCTCGCTACGTTCATTTTGAGGACTAACAAAAGAAAAATAATTAAAAATTATTATTATCTTTTTCGTTTAGACATTATCATCATGACGGTTAGTATTTCGTCGTAAACTTTGATGTTACTATCACTATTATTTATTTATATGTACCTCACCGAAAAAACAGGTAGTGTCCTTTCCAAAAACTATTGATCTTTAATCCATATTTTTTTAATGTTTCTTTCCCCTCCTTAATTACTGTGTATTTACATATTTTTCTTTATACATTAAAAATCTATGTTCATGGTTAGTGCAAATTTAAGTGACATGACTTTCTCTTTCAATTTTTATTGCTGAACCAATTGTATATGCTTTCAGACTTTACATGACTCACATACCTTCTCGCGTTTATGCATGTTGTAATATATCCCTATTTTTATCCAAAAGTTGCTATTACTATTATTATTTACTTCATAGTTTTACTTATCATTTCCCGGTTGTCTCTCCGGACCTCTAGGGGGGAGCCGTGTTGAGTACGTAACAATGTGATTGTACACTTTTTGGTTACTTGTATAAATTCGAGATATTGTACATAATTTTTGTTTAAAACGCTTCTTGTTGAAATATACATAACTTCCGTGTACAATTGAAAAATACACTCTGCTGTTGGAGACTTCGTCTTCTCCCTGGTCCCTTCTGCTTACTTGCTCCACTCACACCGTGTTGTATACTTCGGATTTATTGTAGGAGCCTACTACTTTCAACCGAAGACATTTCTACAACCGGAACACAGCAGCTACAGCAGACGCAGTCCAAACAGTTAACGTGCCTGTGGATTATATAATTAATTTGTAGCCGAGGACTTATACTTTATAACCAAGTAATCCTTTTTGTTGCTATAACTCGTCACTGTATTTTTGGTAATATATTGTGATTTAACACTCCACTGACTTGGATTATTACTTTTATATTTGGAATGTTAGTGAACTCTAATATTAGTCCCCTACAAGTAATGTAAGTACTAGGACCACCTGTGTCTGTAAATGCAGCGAAGTTAACAAGTATCCCCAAAATGACTTCGAGAAAGGTGTCGATTCTTCCCCAGATGCATCAAATACAAATCGAAGGGATTTCACATTAGCCTATTAAGATTGATGATCCTCACAATATTTCTTAACCCGTGGTTGCGTTTCCGTTAATGCATTTAAGACATCGCCCAAACTGATGGCAACACCCTGGAAACTGGACGTTATTATATGAGCCAGCTGTTTGAGAACAGTTAGAGCAGCCTAAATTTTATTTGTAGATCTGGAGTATTGTAGCAGACTTCCATGAGCAGTATTGTTCTGATGTTTACAAGTCTCTGGGACTGCCTCGATTTGGAGACATGTGTTACCAAGTGATTATATATCAATTTAACAGCCAAGCTTAGTGCATGCCGCAACTAGAAACAACAAGTATGTTTGTTGTGTTCAAGTCTGTCCTAGGCATTATTTATTTGACTGGCTGAGTCCCCAGCCTTTGTCACTCTGATCAAACTCCCTCTCAACCACCACAAATAGTAGGAGAAGAATACAATACTAATGTATGTTTTGTATTGGATTATTATGAAGGAACAAATTGAAATTATAAGAATGTCAAGTTCAATACAGCGCAACAACCAAACTCTGGGTCCTAGAAAACACCTTTTAAGTTAAGGGATCTGTGGCGGTATATAATTACCCAAAATTACCGGCTACGGCATTCATCACTGAACATTGGTTGCTGACTCCCATTGTTTAAGTCAACATCTCTGGTCAGTTAGGCACGCCGATTTGGTTCCGAAATATAACTCGTAATATGGACGATCAATTTTGGTTTTTTGCTTTAGTGTACGCGAAGCGAATACTATGGAAGTTGTGGGTATTAGATCTTGCGTTAGCACGCTTCGTACTATCTGTGAACGTCAATACCTTTGGCCTCTAAAGACCTACCAGTGCTGGTGAATACTGAGTGGACGCTCATTAAACTTGTTTATTCGGACCATAACCCATGTAGTGGCTTAGACGCTTGCTTGTCAGTAGAAGACAGGAGTAATCCTATCAGGAAAGCGATTGGAAGTCGGTATGGTTTGCCTATTTCCTGACTGACTGACTATTAGTCTGACTGAAATCCACCAAATTCACCCACATTAGTTATAAAGTCACCATATGTATTCATCACAGGACTCAGACAATGATACTGAATACCTGATACAACGGATTCGTAAATTCAACTGAGGTTAAATGTATCTGTCCACAGCAGTAATTTGTTTACCCTCACGGACTAAAACCTCAGAAGCATAAACATACATAACTTGTTTTGGGAGTTTTGAGCTCATGGCAGATTCATTGAGATAAGTTAGCTAATTTCAGTTAAATCTCAGCACTATTCTTCGTCGAGAAAAGACCACTGAGCACGCGTATGTGTAATATTCTAGCCCTATTAGTTGGACGGTTGAAGCAGCACTACGGCTATCAGATTAGTGTAGGCTAGTTTAGGGAACCAGCTGGATAAGTGAGCAAAATGTAAAGCTCAAGCTATTTCAAGTAGAATGAGTAAATGCATTTCTAGGGTGAACCTTTTTTCGCAACCTGACTGACTAACGGATGGGTATTTAGTGTTTGTGCTATATAATCGCGCTTGACAGTCTGTCGGTCTGGGTCGCAGTTTCAAACGGCAATTCAACAGTCACCATCAGTGTCACTTATTAACAACAGAGATTTCAAGACTATAACTTAGAGAATCCAAATATGCTTTCCTTATGAAGCGTCGGTGGCACAGTGGTTAGGACTCTCGCCGACCATGCACATGGTCCGAGGTTCGATCCCTCACCGACGCACACCTGATATCTATGGTCGGCCTGCAAAATTTGGGCTACCGATATCCATGCTGAAAATTCCATACTTGTACCAAAAATACAGTGTGGAATCAAGCTGTAATCAAAATTGAGAAAATAAAATAAGTAATTTTGCTTGGTGGTGATTAGTAGCAGGATCCAGGAGACTCATATAATATTACCTGAGACTCGTTAGCTGAATGTACATGTATTCCTAGGGAGTGGATATGGTGTTACGATGAGGTTTAAACTCTGTACCAACCATTTTATTTGACTGAGGATATTTCAGTAGGCCACAAGAGCCATCTGTTAACGGACGCGTGCCAGTAATTACTCACTTTTTGGTTAATTTTGGCATTTCCCGTTGATTGTTTGTATTGGACCGAAATCCTCGGTTTCTGTTGACCTTTCGGCTCCCAGTACCGTTTCTTTGAGGGCTTCAAAATATTTACATGAATGAACGAACTGGAATTCAGATTAAAACCTAATTCAACTTGCATGTCCAATTATTTCGTTTTATTGCATCAGTGGACTAAAGACTCATAGTGAGCGTCAAATACAGAGTTGCTTCAAATTATGTCGATCTACAAAGGGCCAGTAAATGTTCACAAAAGGGGTTTGACGTCTGCGATATATGATGTCCATGGAAGGTATTTAGCATTCCGCTTGCTTCGATTTTCTTCGCAGACGTATAATAACTGCTGGTTCGGACGGGAAACTAAAAATTTTTGATTCACTTGATGATGATTGTCCTATGGAACATATTGTAGGCGAGAAAATTAATGCCATTGCTTGTCGTGTAAGTGCAAAGCATTTATAAAGCAACTTATTAGTACGAAAATGTCATTGCGGCGACCGAAGGGACGTATGTACATATCCTACAAATTGAGGATGGTCTTCCTGATGGTGTAGCTACTCGATTTACTGCTGAAGTTAATCACATAGCTATCAATAAAGATCTTAATAAACTTGTTCTATGTAGCAGGTAGGGTTATGTTTTTTAAGGTACATAAATAGTGACTTCACCGTTAAGGTTGTTGATTTCACAGTTTCTGAAGGTGACCGCGAGATGGTTTTTAAGGGGCATCAAGGAGCTGTTCTCAGTGTCTCTTTCGATCCCCTTGATGTGTTCATCGCTTCTGCTTCGTGTGATGGTAGTGTACGCATATGGAATATAATGAATGGCAAGGAAACGAAGTGCATATCAACCCTGGCGAAGTGCAATGATCCATTGTTGACTCCGAGCTACTGTAGATTGTGCTGGGAAAGTACTCTTGGGAAGGTTAGTTGGTTTTTCACCTACATTCAGATCTGCAGTTCCTTTTAGTTCCGGTTGATAAAGAAATTCGTATGTTTGAGCGTGAGAGCTGGGGCTTGCTTTGTTCGTTAACGTGTGCTTCCGTCACTCAACCGTTCATTGTCTGTGCTTCTTCACAAGATGGCAGTCTTGTATCTGGCGGAACTGCTGATGGATGGATTATCGTCTGGAGAATTGAAGATAGACATGCAATTAACCGGTATTTTTTCTCATAGTTACTTTTCACCTGTTGTTAGCAATTTTTTAAATTATTATTTAGTTAGAAAACTGCCTTTGGTAATGCACTTCAATCATTATGTGCGATTTTATGACAATAACCTATTACAAAGTCTAGTAACTAATCCAATAATCCATAGGTCCACAAACACCCACACTTCATATATATTATTAAGTTGAATTCTAATTAAATTGCGGTCGTTAGTATTTAATTGGTGGATGGTGACTAGCAGTGGAATCCAGGATGCGCATTTCGTCCTATTTGGGACTCGTCAGCTGGATGTACCTGCATTTCTCAGTGAGTGATGATGTTCCCACCGAGGCTCGAACCCAGTACCCATAGTTTCAAACGCCAAAGCGTTATCCAGTAGACCACTAGCCCGGACATCGTCGAAGCATCTGCACAAGAAGCCGACATGTCAGCCTGAGACCGAGCACTTCAGTCCAATCAATCGACGGGAAAATCAAGAATTCAATTCAATAAATTGCGGTCGCTTTAATTAGTCACTTGTTTATTAGACGGACTAATTATAAATCGACCATCCAACTTAACGTCAGTCATCTGCCCACAGATTCTCAGGAAGTTTAGAGTCAGCAGTTCATTGGTTTATCACTTCGTTCAACTACTGAGGTACTGATTCCAATTCCATTTCTCTTGCTGAAGTATGTTAGCCAAATAATAGCATTAGTCATATGGTAGCTGTAACTCACTATGTATTGCTTATTGAGTAACATTTGAATCCATGTTAATAAATTTCTCTCTTCAGCGTACCTATGAATCAAAACTCTGCGAAATTTTAAGGACTTATCATTCTTAATTGCCTATATTTGTCAGCTTTCTACAATTGCATACCAGACACTAAAATAGACGTTGGTTTGTGGTGTAATTCCAATTCGGTTTCAACCTTTGACTACATAGTTGATAAAACAATTAGCAATCAATGCGTCGCATTTGAGTGTGGTCTGTGGATTGTAAACGTATTCCGCTTATTCTCTGACTTTATAGTGTGTCGCAAAGTAGATATACCGTCAGCACGACTTAGTGCACAAATAGTTAAAGAAATCTATCTAAAGGCGTGTTTACTAAACATTACAACTAATGCAGTATATTGCTGCTCTATTTCGTATATATGATGTAGTTGTAATTAGATCTGAAATGTGTACAGGGTTTTAATCTCAAGCTTTGTAGCCCTACATATATCATTTGGAAACGTATACTAACAATGAGCTAGCAGTCATTTTCCTTAAAAATATTTATACCTTGTACAGTCTGAGTGAAAGGTACTGTTCTATGGTTAACAGGAGCATGTGTCTGCACTCTGTTACAAGTAAACCATTAATAGTAATAGGAAATTCATGTGTTTGTATAAGCAGTGTCTGTCTGTCTGTCTGGATTCAACATAGAACTTGGCACCGAAGTGCAGCAGTTCGAGTTGCCACGTTCCAAATAGCACACAGAGGTAGACAAGAAGATAAGTGAAGAGAATCAATACAGTCTGGCAAGTATAAGAGTGAAACAGAATGGGTAATGGTAGAAAGGAATATGAAAGATTACAGAGACTGAATACATCTGCGCCATTGACAACGATTTTGAGCCATGTCAACTATTGTCTCCAGCCATTGATTCCTAGAGTCCCGTGGGCCCCAACCCGGGAGTCTGCATCTCCCTATCTGACCTACTCAGTTTAACTGTCAAGGATTTCATGGATTGATGCCATGTTTTTTGTTTGGCCACCACTGGCTCTTTTCCAACCTGCACCTATATCAGCTAGTAATGCCCGTCGGGGGAGGTGATGTATAAGCGATAACAACAGTATGTTCAGAATTAAATGATGCTATCATTTGTTTTTATGGCTTCTCATCAGGTGCTTGCAACCCAAAGACATTTAAGTTTTTGAGGTTTAATTAGGTGTAACAGGTGTTTAATATGCCGACATATGGACTATATTTAGGGTAGCGGTGTTCGTACTTGTGAAGGTCACTTCTTAAATCTACTGAAATGTTTTCGTCTCAGGATGAAAATGAAAAGTATTTGTTATTTCTTGCGCTCTGATATTTGATCGTCAGTGTTTCATCTGCAGGTTTTCAATAATTTCTGTACTAAGTCTTGTTAAGAAGTTTTATTTTGTGAGTATATTTTCCTTTTGTAATTACCCATTATTTCACTTGTATTTTAAATGCCCTTTTTAACTTATAGTATTCGTGATCCTTCTCATAGTCGAATTTGTAGTTTGGTTTGGCATCCACATCAAGATAGAAATTTATTATTTGCAAATGAAAATGGGTCAGTTGGACTTGTCAGTATACCGTATATCCAGGTATTTCGTTAGCATTCTTTATACGCTGTAATGTGCAAACATTCATCAAAGTTTTTTTGCATTACATATATATATATATATATATATATAATGTCAAGTACGATAGTAGACATTGAGCTAGCTGGAAATCACTACTGAAAGTGGTGTATCAAATATGTAGTCCGCATACTTTTTTGTGGGTAGTGTAGCAAGAAGTCATTTGTGGAAACCTTATCATTTCCTAATTATGACCTAGTTAGTATTCGTGTCGACCTCGAGTTGAATTTTAAATGAGCTGTCAAGTAGACTTGCTAATTTAGACATTTATCAGTAATTTTTTAATGGCTTTAACTGGATCATTCAGGAAGGTGTGGGAGACTGGGAGTGTACCATCAGTGTAAAACGAAGTCATTATCGTTCCCATCTTTAAAAAGAGTCGACGTAATTCATGTGGCAATCACAGGGGTATCAGTCTTCTATCAGTTGCGTCCAAAATACTGACTGCTGTCTTGCTTCGCAGGCTGTGCAAAACACGTGGGGGATTGATTCGCAAAGTGCAGGCTGGGTTTCGTTCAGGTTGTGGATGAACTGGTCATGTGTTCACCCTTCGTCAGTCGTTGGGACACCGCCACACGTATTGCAGGCCAACGATCGTTGTGTTTCTTGATATTAGGGTTGCTTTCGATTCGTTGGACAGAACTGTGCTCTAGAACTGTCTGTTAGAGAAGGGTGTACCTGACGAGTTTGTGAACAACCTGAAAGTTCTATACAGAAGCACCTCAGGTAGAGTAAGGGCATACAACCAACTGTCATCACTGTTCCCAAACAACAGTGGTGTTAGACAGGGTCGCCCGATCTCATTTTTTTTTGACTTGACCATCGATGATATTCTGGAGTCAGTTCTGAAGAATGTGCGTGAAGGTGATGTAGATTTGCTCCCTGCAGATAGACTTTTCAAATTCGAGCATACAGAAGATGTCGTCTTATTGTACGATAGCATGCAGGCTGCCCAAATCGCACTTAATCAGTTGGCGATTAGTGTCTGTAAGTATGGTGTGTGTTTTGCGACGTCTAAGTGTAAAGTACTGTTACAAGATTGGGAGGAGCCTGTACCTGCACTCACTCATGCAGATGAACCGCTTAGAGTTGTTGATGGGTTTGTGTATCTCGGTAGTTGTGTGAGTGCTGGCGGAGGGGTGACGGATGATATTTCCAACCGTATAATGAAGGCTAGGGTGGCACACATCAACTTTGGCCGCCTCTGGCGCCGTCGAGACGTTAGCCTGGCTGTCAAAGGTCGGGTATACAATGCTTCTGTGCGAGGTGTCTTGCTCTACTCCTGTGAAACCTGGCCTCTCCGAGTAGGCTGAGAATGTGCGGCGGCTTTGTGTATTTGATCATCGCTGTCTCCACAGCATTGCTTGCGTTCGGTGGCATCATCGCGTGAGTAATTCTGAGGTCCGGCGGCGTGTTTGAACACAGTGGAGGTCACCATTTGTTGAATGTTTTCATCTGAAAACACTGCCATCGGTGGTTTGGACATATGCTGCGAATGTCATCTCAGAGGCTTTCGTACTGGTCTCTGTTCGCTAGCCCTGGATTTGGAGGGAAAAGTCGGAGAGGTGGTGAGCCCATAACGTGTTATCGTGGGATGAAAGATATTTGTGCTAGGTTAGCATCGGTGGACGCGCCACAACTCCCTGGTTGAAGTCCGAAGGATAGCTCGAAACGTTATCGGATATGGTAAAGAATCGTAATTAATGACGAACGTCCTACAATTTACTTCTTTCTTCCCTTCCCGATGATAGTTGACGAATACTGCTTGAACTTGTGAAGTATGACTGTTTTCCTTCCTGATGAAGTTCTTTATATGTTCCCCACCTTTGTTTTTACTTCTAATCTATATTGTTTTTTATCATTGTGTGGCGCATTTTCTTGGTGCCTTATTGTACCAAGTTTTTCTGCTTTTAAATAAAATAAATTTTATAGTAGTGGCGTGTTTTATTTGTACATACACTTACATTTTATGCAAAAGACATGTTTATACTTATTTCAAGCATAGTTAATGCGGTTTTGTTTGAAAACTGCTTATTGATAAAGTTAACCGTATACATTTATGCAAACATACTATAAGTATTACATACATTCTTCATGTCTCTAGCACATTTTTGTAGTTTAAAAATGTACTTGATTCCAACTAGTTTTCCCCTTGTATTTTTTAGTACCAACCAGTTGGTTTTTGTCTTTTTCATAGATGTCTCCTACAGATGCTTTATCACCGAGTAAGATAGCGGAATTAATGGGTTGCGATGAAGATGGTGATACTGCTGATCTATTAAGTGCTGCTGCGGCACAGGCAGAATCCAGCAGATTTTTGGCTGATGATGAAATTTCCAATCTAGATGTGAAGATGGACAACAGTGATTCAGACTCTATAGACTTATCTCGAATTAAGTCTGGTTATATGACCCTCGATGATGATGATGTGGGCCAGAAACAAAATGAAGTGAAAGTGGAGGTTAAGTCAGTTGCCCCTGCTATAGAAAGCGGTAAATGTAGTAACCTTCCAATCCAATCCTTGCAGAAACCTTTCCAATCGGGAGCAACACCAGTTGGTGAGTTATACATGTTTTTCTTAGAGAAAATAAAGTAAATTTTGAGAGACTAGTCTTAAGTCTAGCAGGTTTTTAAACTCAGTAGTAGTATTTATTTTTGTTTGTTTGGATATCATTTTTAGATAAGGTTTTTAAATATAATATGTAGCTTATTTTTTTGAATGACATGCACTGCTTTTACTTTCTGTCTGCTTCTAACTGTAGGCTTTCGTGAACGTTTTATGGTGTGGAACAGAATTGGTATCGTGACACAGTTTAGGAATACAGGTGATTTCGATGAAGAAGATGGAGCTTCAAATCAGTCTTCTGGAGGAAGCATAGAAGTGGAATTTCATGATAACAGTCTCCATCACAGCTTGCGATTATCCAACAGCTCTGGTTATTCGATGGCAGACCTAAGTTTAACTGCTCTGTTATTGGCCTCTAAAGTTCGTTTCTAATAACAAGTTTGTTTTCCTATCCATATATATATATATATATATATACCATTGAAGGGTGTCTATTTGTAGCTTCGAAAATTTAGTGCAGTCCATCTCTAGCTTTCCCGTGTTTGTCATTTTAAATTGTAAGAGATGTAGATGACCAGACTTCTAAGGGTTTTATGCCTCAGTTATATCTTAAATACTAAGACAACAGCTGATTAAAAATAGTGTAGTAACTACCTAATTTGTGATTTTGTTAATGTATCTGAATGAGTTTGTTTTTTTGGTACATGTTAACACTTCTTACTTTATTTTAGGTATACTCTAAAGTGCTGAACCATTAGAAGGTTTCTAGATGCCTGTCTACACATTCTAAAAGGCTTTCCGTTAGACCTTTCCATTGTTCACATTTTTGGGAACGAATAATCGTTTGTTGCTCAATGCCATGTTATGAATTTTTCTGCATGTACCAGCCTAGCGCATCTAGCAGCTTAGACGATACAACATTCAACTGTCGTAAATCTGCCACCAAAACACTTTCCTCATTCTCCCCAGAGTCTGTGTTCGATGTCGAGTAATTTTGATTTCAACACCCAATTAGCAATTGATAAATATCACATGATATTTTAACTTAAAATGTCTTGTAAGGGCTGTTTAATTTTCTTCTTTCTTGTAAGCTTATCGAGCTGCTGGTCATTTCGTCATTTTGATAAATAAATAATGGCTACGCTTATATGCTGGTTATTTCCGTACTAATTATTTATTGTATGAGAGTGTCCTTTTACTGCTGAAGTTAAAAAACTATTTCTGTCAAAATTCATCTATTTGTTTACAAGGAAAGTATACACTTCTCGTTGCTTCTGGTGAGTTCAGAGCAGATACACTGTAAGGGTTCAAAAGTTAGATCAAGAAATCACATATATGCAACCTTGATTTTTGAATAATGTATCCTACACTCGGGGTTCTAGTCAGCTAATAACTTTATAATATTAATGTAAAAGTATATCATAAAGTACCTGAGCTTTCTTCAGTGTTATTCGGGAGATCAGTTTTCACTGTGGCATATTTTTGTATTTTTCTTTCATCATTTAGGGTACCGAAGACTCTAACTTAAAAGATTTGAACCAAGATGAACAGCATGAATTATATGATCTTAGTCGCATTGCTGTGTTGCCCCTAGATGTTGGTAATACAAACGTTAGTGATGCTTCTGCTGAATGGACTGCAAATCTCCCTCCTGGAGAATTATGTGATGCTGTTTGTTTGGTTACAGAAACAATTCCAAATCGAACTGAGAGTCCTGGTTATGCTGTTGTTGCTACATCAAAGCGTTTATTACGCATTTTTACTCAGCCTTCTCCATCCACGTCTATAACACACTCAACAAATTTGCATCTTTTTCAAATAACTAAGTTAGGTTTACCACCTGTTAGTCTTGCTGGGCAACATACTGTTGTAATGGCAAGTCATCCTACAAATCCTATCCTTGGTGTAGTGACCTGTAATATGATAGGAGAGTTGGAGTGGAGGGTGTTTTACCTAGGAGGAATATTGCTTGGATCGAATCGGACACCAGCCCCATTATGGATGCAGAGTTCACTATCCATTTGGCAACCCTTACCTCTTAGCCCTCCGGAAAGACTTACTATTGGTGACACTTCAACCGTTCGTTTAACCTGGTTCGGCTTTTCTGACACAGGAGGATTATTTATGTGTGACTCGACTGGAGTTGTCCGACGTCTCATTCACGGTCGTTCTCAAAAACACCCAGAATTTCACTGGATTCCTATTTGTGACACACGAAACATGCTAAAGCAAAACAATAGGAGGACAGACAATTATTTTATTGTTGGAGTTTTAGAGTCTTGTGAATCACTGGAAAGTTTATCTTCTGAAAACAAGAAAGAATCTAAGTCGAATGCAGCTGGATTCGGTCAGTTACAGGCGATATACTGTAAAGCCTCAAAGTGGCCTAGAGTTTTCCCTCGTCCAGTTGTTTCAAATTTACCGTTTCGTTTGCCACTCTGCTCACTGAATACTGATCAAGGTGATTTAGAGGTTAGTTTCATTGATGTGTCAAATATAATTTCACACTCGCTTAGTTTATTATTCGTTTATATACCTTCATTTATGAATGGGTACTTTAGTGTTTTTCGAATTAAGACGGATGCGAGAGAACATATTTAAAATGGCTTTATACTGACAGCATATTAACTGACTTATTGAAGAAACATAATCGGATCAATTAGTTTACATTACTTTTAAGGCAATTTTGTGTATATTTTATCACTTTCATCTACCCCCCTATCTTTCGTTTTTCTAACCTAAAGGAACTTGTTTATTACTCACAGTTTGTTCCCCCTTTGTAATTGTTTTTGTTTACTTGTATAAACATGAACTATTATTTGTTAAAGTGATCTGGAAAATAGCGAGAATACTCTTCATACAGTGTTTAATCAAAAAGTGTGAGAAATTATATAATAATCAGATGATAATATTTCACAGTGTATGCATGTATAATTCAACTGAGCGACCATCGCCATGTCAATCCACAACTATTAAATATGAGGACTAAATGGTGAAACTTAGATAGATAGAGTAGAGGTCTGATTTAGCACTTACTGACTGGCTTGAGTTATTAAGCAGCAGCGCGAAGCATTTGGAAATAGTGCATCTTATACACATAGTAATCTACATTCAATAGCATATTTTTTGTTAGTGTTATCCTTCTCAGTCTTATATCAATGTTTGCTGTTCTTCATCCTTTAATGGATTATGTTTGTTAAAGAAATAATATGATAGTCATTCTTTAAACTAATGTGCTTAAAGCAAAGAATCACTATTTTCCTCAAACTACCACCGTGCCTAGCTAAAATAATTAAGTGTCGTCATATGCCGTGGATTGGTAACTTGGGCACGTGGCTGGGCTAACTATCTCCTTCGTATTTACTGTTTGCCTATATATCTGGGTCCCTGATGATCTTCGTACAGCTTTGCGTAGTGATTTGCATGATGATTTTATGCCCATCTTCGTCAGTCCAATGATATTTTGACAACGATTGAAGAGTTTTAAACAAGAATAATTCTATTTTTTTCAAATAGGAAAATTATCTTCAGTATTTGGTCAATGATGACTGGCCTGTTTGGGGGCCGAATACCAATGATGCTGATGAAGACATATTATCACATTTATCTTCCTTGAATACAAAGTCACTGACCAAAAGAAAGGCAGTTTTATTGCGTTTGTTTGCTGTAAGTCCCTTTTGTATTTAAAACGATCAATAGTGGTTGATAAAGCAGGATATAATGAATTCATAAAATTTTGGAAAAACTCACCAAATGCATATTTTTGCATACATATTTATCATGTCTGTCTCTCTTTGTATTACGTATGGTGTATATAAGAACGTATACAGAATTTCCATCTGATGAGTTCCACATTAATTCCATGAAGTGGTCGTGTACTCTATCTTGTTAACCTACGCTGCTTGTTTTAAATGAGTGTTGACTAAGAAATAGTTTCCAATATCTCCCCTATTTCCATACACAAATCTTCGTGTGAGATTTTGTTGATAACTTTGAAATCGATTTTTCTAGTTAACCTAGTTGGTTCATAGCAGTAGGATTTGGAATGCTCTTCTGAATATCTTTAAGTAGGTCCTCATGAATCTAATATAAGCTGTAAAAGTTTGGTATTTGGCTTACTCGCATTGCGAATATAACTTTAAAAAGATGATGAATAACTGTTCTCGAAACCCTATCCGGTAGATAAAGAGGTTTGAATTTGATTTATCTAATAAATGATTTTTTCATGAAACTGCATCCTACTACAGTTTTCAAGTTTAACTTGTATAGTGTTCTTGATGGTTCGTCACTATTCAGCCATACTGGTGTTTATCGATTTTTCCTGTATACTGTTTTAGCAACTTGGAGCAATACACAGGTCTTTTTTATCAATGTCTTCCCGGTCCCACTTACTTCCTCTTTATGTGTTATTGTAAACTGTCTACTTGAAATACACTTATGCTCAGTGTCGTGCATTGGTGACGTAAGAACTTTTTTGACCACTATATCGGTATATTTTTACATACCGTTGTATAGATTGAGAAGAAAATCTACTAGTTGGATATTTTTATAAGACTAATATCACTTTTAATATTTTCCAATTATTTCGTGACATGGTAGCGGCACTGAGTGCACCAAAGCACATAACTGGGTTTTTTTAATGTGTTTATAATCATCGATTTTCATTTTTTTTCACCTTATTCATTTAAATTCTGAGTGGGACACAGGGCTTGGAGCTTGGACTTTGGAGATTCGGTAGCAGTGGTTTTATTTTTACGGGTCGCTGGTTGCCAGCCTTACGCCCAACCTTCCCTTTTTCCTGGCCTTTCTACCGGTTTGGCGACCTTTAGGATTGCGTCAGCCGGGGATTGAACCTAGGACGACATACGCGGTTGATGATCATTGTATCACTGAACCACCGACGCACACTATCATCAATAATCATTGTAAATGATACGGTTATTGGTAGCTTACATATCGTCTTGGTCCAAGATGCAAAATCCCGTAATTAACATTTGTCACTGGTGCATCTGTTGTGTGTTTGATATGTCCAAGTCTCATTTCATTAGTGTTTATTATTGTTCTTTGTGATAGTATTTTACTCTGTCTTTTTCCACTTAGTTGGCAGCGAAACTTGAATCGGATTGGGCTAGTCTGGCAATTGCTCACCTAATGCCGGATGCAGCAACTGTTCAGCTTGCTATCAGGTATGCTGGTCGGCTTAGGCGTCAAAATTTAGCGCATCGTTTGGCAGGTGTCGCCTTAGAGAAAGAACGACAGGTGTCAGATTCTGTAGAAGAGGATGATTTGGACAATGTACCACAAAATTCATCATCTAAGCAAGTATCTAACAGGTTTGTGGTTTTATAGAAAAGCTGTTATTGACCGTTTATTTTACCTGTCATTTCCTACTGCTGATATTCTTATAAAAAATCGGTTCATTTATAATTATCATTTGATAAGTATTTTAAAAGTTTTTAAAATTGAAATCAGTCTACTTTTCCAAAACCATGAGTGTCGACGAATTATCAGTCGGTTTCATTTGTATGCTGCCAGTTCAACTGTGAAGTTTCGATCACTCTCATTGAACTTGTTAGCTTGGATCACTGGTGCTTTTACTAAAATTCGATCATGTTAAATGAGGAACATAGGTCGTAAGATGGAGTTGTAAGTCTTTATTAACTGATATGAGTGGGACATATTTAACATATACCAAACCATTCCCGTACTTCACGTTTTGTATGACTCACTTCAAAAACTATGGACTCCATGGCTGATATCTTCAGAACTTTGTAAGACACTGGTTAGGAGTTTTACCCAATTGGCTCATAACCGTTCGCAATATCTTCATATTATCTTATAAATTCAATTCCATCATAGATGTACTAATGGACTTAACTCTAACTCACTTCAGAGACTCAGGGATTGAATTGTTACCAGGGGATAATCTCGTTGACTTAGAATATGCAGATGATATAGTCCTTCTAGGCGAGGACTCTGACTAAAATGCAGAGTCTTCTGAACACACTGAGCTGCAATCTACGAATGTTTGGCATGCGATTCGCTCCCGCCAAACGCAAGGTGATGTTACAGGACTGGAACACACTGACTCTTAGTTTAGAAATAGGGAGTGAAGTCGTAGAGCACGTTGGCCGCTTCACTTATTTGGGAAGTACCATCAGCCCCAACGGGTTGATCTCTGACGAGATCTCAGCAAGAATACAGAAGGTTAGTTTCGCTAGTTTCGACTTGAACTGCCGCACATGTGTGCAAAGTTCTCTCGAAAACAGACAGACAGAAATTCTGAATTTCACTAATCCTCACTGATTGACTAACTTTTCAACTTTGCACGTAAGTACGGCAATTCAATTTACCGCACTCCATATAGCACATTAAGAAAATTTCTTTAAAACTATAGCAAACGAAAGTTCACGCAAAAAGTAATAAGCACATAGAGAGTAATGAGGATATAATGGGCCTGAAACATTAAAACGGGTGAGTACATCTGCGCCACTATAAATGACTTTGAATCCTATCACCAACAGTAAAGCCATTGGTTTTCAGTGTATCGAAGACCTCAAACTGGCAGTCTACACTTCCTTACACAGCTCAAACCTACAATCTAATGGATTGATGCTATGTTTTGGTGTGATCGCCTCTTACTATTTCCCAACCAAATCCTTTGTCAGCTAAAATTCCTTGACAAGAAAGGCGATGCCTTGCCATGTCTGTCTGTCTGTCTGTTTTCGACATAGAACTTTGTACAAATGTTCGGAAGTTCAAGTCGCCACACTCCGTGTAGCACGCGAAGCAAGAGAAGAAAGTACAAGAAAGCATAATAGAAACAGTGAGCAGAGGTGTGGGACAATGGAGTAATAACGAAGAACAAAACAGTTTCATTGAAGATCATAAGTCACAGGGAGTGGATGCATCTGCGCCACTGAGAGCGATTTTGAGCCATGTCACCAATTGTTTCCAACCATAGATTTTTACCATCCCGAGGACCCCAGCCTGGAAGTCTACACCTTCCTACGTGGCTTAGACCAACTGTTGTGGATTTCATTGACTGGTGCCAAGTTTTTGTTTGACCGCCGCTAGCTTTTTTCCAGCCTGACCCTGTATCCGCTAACATTCCTCGTCGAGGGAGGCGATGACTTGGCATACGTAACACATGTCCTAACCATCTCAGTCTTTGTAACTTCACGACTTCATCGATTGATTTCCCCTGGTTACCTAGAACTCGACGCCTAACTTCAATGTTGCTCACCTTATTATGCCACTTTACACGGGAAATAGAGCGCAGGCACCTATGATCAAAGACAGCTAGTCTTTTCATGTCTTCCACTCTCAGTGGCCAGGTCTCAACCATAAAGGAGGACGGGGCGGACTGATGAGTAGTACACTCGCCTTTTGGTCGATAGTCGAACATCTCGTCTACACCAGAATCGGCGTAAACTGGCAAATGCGAAACGAGCCCCCTGTATTCGTGCTGAGATTTCATCAGAGATCAACGCGTTGGCATCGGCTTATGGTACTTCCCAAATAAGTGGATCGGTCAACGTGCTCTACCACTTCACTTCCTATTTCTAAACTAAGAGTCAGTGTGTTCCAGTCCTGTAACATCATCTTGCATTTGGCGGGAGCGAATCGCATGCCAAACATTCGTAGATTGCAGCTCAAGGTGCTTGCCATGTAACTAATTTTGACGCAGTTATTCCTTTTCGCTCTTAGTTGATCATTGTTTTCGACGTGTGACAACTTAAACTAATGCCATTTCCCACATATTTCGTTCCTGACTGTTCTGTTTAGTTATTACTTTGCTCACTTATTTCAGTTTACAGAAGTGTCCTTTATTTTCACATTTCATATACATTTTTCAGTGCAGCTGTTATGGTGCATTGTTATTTCGCTTAATTTCTGTTCGAGGCTGATCCTTTCCCTTATATTGTTTTCAGATATCTAAATAACGCATACAGTTATACCTCTGTGAATGATCACATGAATGGCTATTTGAAGAATTCTAGACCTGTGGAGGATTCTGGAAGTCACGATGCTGTGAACACTTCACTTGTTAGTTCAGGCACTGATGATACATACGACGATGCTACTGTTGGCAGTCAACATCTGGCAGATTCAGAGTCTTTTTCTCATTCTGCACTAACTCCTAGTTCTTCACGGAATCCTTTTAAGGTTAGTGATTTTGTACTATTTTGTTTTATTCTTATATTCCTTGTAAAACAGTCGCATTTGCAATACTTTTGTTGTTAGACACCATATTGACCACCACGAAAAATCTATTTGATATGACTTAGACAATATGGTAATGTGTATTTTCTCAATATAATAGACAATCTTGTACTCACCGGCGTGAAACTTGATGAGTTTTGTGCAATCCCTATTGGAAGAAATATAGGATTATATAAAATTTCGACGATTGTGGCAGTGTTTTCGTTTCATTTTTGTGAAGTTAAGTTTCATTGTCCTATTGACGACAGGTATTTCTGTTGTTTTGTGTCAGTAGGCAATATGTCTTTTTGTAAGTTTACAATGAATGAAAAATAATTATCACAGTGAAGATTCCATTTGTAATATAAAACATACTTAGAGGTCTTTGGTTGTACTCTTAATCCTTCTTACCCTTATCCTGGTACTAATACGACCTCGTATTTCTAACACATGTAATCGCTTGATTCTAAGACGAGATTTTCTAGTTTTATTGACAAATGGCTTTCTTGAAGATTTCCAGTTTTTTTACGAAGCTGTTGTGACATGAGATAATCATATCTTCATTGGGTTTATCGCAGACTGGTTCGATTAGTTGTAGTAAATAAAAAGCGTTATTTTATTTTGGGTTTCCGTCTTTCTATAAGTGAATTATTATTGATTTGCTATCTTAATTTAGACTATCTTGGAGGCCCTACTTTATAATGTTAAATTACAATTGATTCTAGCTCACATTGTAGACATAATTATTTTCCATCTGATAGTGTGAAGTAGAAGAGACTGATGAGGCTCGAGGGCAATGTTTATGAGGAGAAACGCGTTGTAGGCACAATAATTTGTGTATACCTTATCTTTAGGTCTTTATTTGCACATTATTTACAAATAGGTCGAATATCACCAGCTTCGAGGACTTGTTAGATTCTACACAGAGTTGTCATGTACTTTTCACAGCTCTCTTCTGTGACTGCCTTTTTCCAGTGCTCCAAAACGTATTGTTACTTTCCTGACCCCTTTTACTAATATACTACTTATATCTGATCATAAGTAGCACTCACCACACTGGTATTTCAAAGTTCTGACAAGACTAATATTCCACATTTCTGTATTACAAGATTGAATTTCAGGCTCCTTAAACGTTTGTTCATATATATATATATATATATATATATATATATATATATATATGTTGTTCTAAATTTTGTATCTTTGTTTCTACACTTCCATTATCAAGTCAATGCATGGACCAAAAGATTCTGCACCTCGTTTAAGTGCTCATGGAACAGAGGTTTTAGATGTGTGGACGCCAAAGGCGACTGATCCTAACACAAAGATTTCTCAAAAGTCTAATGTTAACAAAACACAACAACAAAATAAGAAACGCCAAGCAGCAGTAAGTTTTCTCTGCATATTAGAATTATTATCAACAAAAATCACTTTCATTTATGATGTATTTGTTCACCATTTTTCTAAATTAAGACATATATCTGTAAACAACCATCCAAATTTTTAAATTGTATTTTGTTAGCCCGTATAGGTGAGGATAGGCAACACCAGGCAACTCTTTGGACTCATCAGGGAAACGGGTGGGAGAAGACAAATCATTAGTGAGACAATCTCGGAAAAAAATGGCACTATAATTAGCTCACAGGATAGACGACTGGATCGTTGGAAAGAGCATTATGAGGAGCAGTTTAATTTGCCCACAGCCACGCTCAACCTTCCGAGCATCCAACACCTCCCTGAATGGGATATAGATACAGGTCCTCCGTCACTAACTGAGGTTACTAAAGCTGTCACCAATCTGAAACTAGGCAAAGCAGCGGGACCTGATGGGATGACGCCAGAGGTATTTAAGTACGGTGGAGACAGCTTACTGTCCGGATTAACTGAGGTACTAGGCAGCGTTTGGGAATCAGAAGAAGTCCCATCGGGTTGGTATAAGTCACTGATTATCCCCATATACAAGAAGGGAGACAAGTCTTCCTGTGATAATCACAGAGGGATTAGCTTGACTAATATAGTATCTAAAGTCTTAGGCTCAATAATCATGCGTAGACTGAGTGGTGCTCGGGAAGCACAAACACGAGAGAGCCAGGCAGGCTTTAGACCAGGAAGAGGGTGTATTGATCATATCTTCACCCTCCGACAGACTCTAGAACATAGGCATTCCTACCGGCGTCCAACAGTCATTATATTTCTTGACCTAAAGGCAGCATTCGACTCTGTCGATCGAGAAGTTCTCTGGAGATGCTTGGCTGTAAAGGGAATTCCAAGAAAATATATTGCACTGATTAAGGCACTCTATTCGTACTCATACAGCCAGGTGAGGGCTTACGGCGAGCTGTCATCTGAACTGATGACGACCAGTGGTGTCCGTCAAGGATGCCCATTATCTCCTTTTCTATTCAACTTCATCATAGATGTGTTAATGGACTTAACCCTAGGTGACTTCAGCGATTCAAGGATTGACTTGCTACCTGGGAATAATCTCGTTGACTTGGAATATGCAGACGATATAGTCCTTCTAGGCGAAGACGCTGACAAAATGCAGAGTCTTCTAAACACCTTGAACAGCAATCTACGAATGTTTGGCATGCGATTCGCTCCCGCCAAATGCAAGATGATGTTACAGGACTGGACTACATCGACGCCTAGTTTAAAAATAGGAAGTGAAGTGGTAGAGCACGTTGACCGCTTCACTTATTTGGGAAGTACCATCAGCCCCAACGGGTTGATCTCTGACGAAATCTCAGCACGAATACAAGGGGCTCGTTTCGCATTTGTTAGTTTACGCCGACTCTGGCGTAGACGAGATGTTCGACTATCGACCAAAGGGCGGGTGTACTGCTCATCAGTCCGCTCCGTCCTCCTTTATGGTTGTGAGACCTGGCCACTGAGAGTGGAAGACATGAAAAGACTAGCTGTCTTTGATCATAGGTGCCTGCGTTCTATTTCCCGTGTAAAGTGGCATAATAAGGTGAGCAACATGGAGGTTAGGCGTAGAGTTCTAGGTAAACAGGGGAAATCAATCGACGAAGTCGTGAAGCTACATCGACTGAGATGGTTAGGACATGTGTTACGTATGCCAAGTCATCGCCTCCCTCGACGAGCTATGTTAGCGGATATAGGGTCAGGCTGGAAAAAAGCTAGCGGCGGTCAAACAAAAACTTGGCATCAGTCAATGAAATCCACAACAGTTGGTCTAAGCCACGTAGGAAGGTGTAGACTTCCAGGCTGGGGTCCTCGGGACGGTAAAAATCTATGGTTGGAAACAATTGGTGACATGGCTCAAAATCGCTCTCAGTGGCGCAGATGCATCCACTCCCTGTGACTTATGATCTTCAATGAAATTGTTTTGTATTTCTTTATTACTCCTTTGTCTCATACCTCTGCTCACTGTTTCTATTATGCTTTTCTTGTACTTTCTTCTCTTGCTTCGCGTGCTACACGGAATGTGGCGACTTGAACTTCCGAACATTTGTGCAAAGTTCTATGTCGAAAACAGACAGACAGATAGGTGGTAATCAGTCATCCGTTCTAGTCACAGTTGTACATAGACCGTAAAGAAGGTCTTATTTAATACGAATCACATAATTACTGAACTGTTCAAATATTTAAATATTCGAAATACAAAATTATGCTTGTTGATGGTTAATATGACTAATGTATACCTAATATTGGTGAATAGTTTATAAGGCCATCTGTATTACTGGCGGAGCCTTTGAGGTTGTACTGTAATATAAGTTCTGGTATTCAAACTAGGTCGGACAAAAATTGAGTGAATTCCCCTTGGCTTAAATTATGAATGTTAACATAGATGTACTCATGAAAGAGAGACGACATAAAAATTATGAAAACAAACGTTCTAATGGTGACTGTGTAACTTTATTCAAAAAATTTCGAAATCAGCTGTCCTTTGCAAGTAAAATATCGCATTTAGTGGCTATGGTCAATGAATCCCATTATGTCTTCAGCTAAAATATTGCCAGAACTTTCATTCGATGACTACACATATTATTGTTATTTGTTCCTTGTATTTTGGGGGTAAAATATACCTTCACTTGTACTTTGTTCTCTGCAATCACTTTCAACTGGCTGCACTTCTCATTTTCCCTTCATATGATCTGCTCTATGTCATCTTCAAAGTGAATTTCATTCTAAGCCATATTTAATTAATGTCTGGAGCCACTGAGTCACATGGCTTTCGGATTACGCCAAGAGAGTCGTAATGCACCAACAGATGCTAACCCAACAATTATCCATCAACTTGTGATGCTACTTTATAGACTGATCACCTCTCTGTCTTTTACAACTATTCCGAGGGTTGGTTAACAATATACTGTATGTAGATCTGTGAGGTGAAACCCGTCATCTATTTCCACATCTACTACATCTAGAGTTTCAGTGTGACTCCACTTACTGGAATACTATCCCAACCGTGTTAAAACACGTCCAGGGATGACCAAACTGACATATGCCTATAGGTAATTCACATTAACATATTGCGATTATGTTTTCACTATACAACTGGAAATCTTAGACGTTACACTGCAGGTGCTTACTTAACTACCTTATAAGATAAATTTTCTGACTACTTCTAGTAATACATCTTCAACAGTGAGTCCAAACTCAGGTGTTGGTTAATTTTCCATATGTGCAGCTGTAATATCAAGAGATAAGACGATTGTTGGCCTATAATACTTTTAATGGTGTTCTTACTGATGGAGTATTAACGCATCGTCCATGATGTCACAACTTGAATGAAACCTAGAGTGCTCTTTTTGAGTTTTATTAAGTTTACTAGTATTTCCCTCGCATATACTTAGAGATGGATACTTCGGCGATCATCGTATGCACTTCCCAAGCCTAGCTATGGATTACTGCGCATTGGAGTAAAGGCTTATTTTTTATTTTCCTCAAGTGTTCTGCCTATTAGTCATGGATTTTTGCGAGTTGTTCATTATCCTACAATCTGTATTAATCCCATACCCTAACCACCAAGTTTTGTTGTCATTACCTGAGTTCATTTTTAGTGCATAAGGGTCTTATTCAGGTGACAGTACTTATTATTCGCTACAATAGATCTGCGGATATGAAAACTGTGTGGAATTCGTAGAGACGCCTTGTTTCTGTGCTAGATTACTTTATAAACCACAAGCTGCTTAACTTATCACAGTTACGACACTGCACATCTGTTACATGAACTTCAATCAGTATATCCAACCAAATAGTTACACTGATTATTTACTACCAGTCTTTCATTTTGTGAAAGAATTAAAGTGTTTGATATGTGTATGATACGCCTTGCTGACGATTGCCAACAAGCACAAAACCTAGGTCCAAGGCTTCCTGTCGATTACCTCCAATCATCTAATATCATCAAATCAATGTGCACCGTGATGGCGAGCTGCCTAGACTGGTGGCCACATTACAACCTGACTGATAGAACTCAGTCTGCGCAAAAGAGAGGATTAAACACATCACACTAGTTACTAGTGTCAAATCAAAAATGATATGTGTATTATTGTGTAGAATATAAAAATTAAGTGATTTTTGAACTTCTGTTATTGGATTTTACAGAAGGAAAAGCCTATGTTTTACTTATGGAATACTCTGTACTCGAGATTTCAATTCACTCAAGTAATTTCTTTTTTTTTCTCTTCAGGGGAATCAACGTCCTAAGGTACAAAAAAGTAAACCAGCTGATGTTGTAGAGTAAGTAATAATTAGCTTATTTCAAGAGGTATTTTAATGTCGAATGATAAATTTTCAAATTACCATCATTATTTTTCCCGTTTACTGATTTAGCACTGATCAAGAATTTACTGATTGGTTTGAAGAGAATCGAGAGACACTCGAAGAAAGTTATCCCGAAGTATCTGTTGAGGAGCTTGTTCGAATAGGCCGGTCAGAATTTGTAAGTTATAGTGTCAAGTTTTGAAAAATCATGACTGTTGTTGGTTGGATGACTATGTCTGTTATATGAAGCTTTTATCATAATAGGCTAAACAGCCTATCTTCAAATCTGATTAAATTCCCACTTGCTTTCTGATAATATTCAAGGGAGAAATACAGACAAGCTTTCCAGTTATTATATTTTAAAATTGATGCTTACAGACCGAAGTATTCTATGAATATGTATTTAAAACACATAAATTTCACTTACTAGTCAAAAGAACGTGAGTCATCGTTATCCGAGTGAGATGTTACAGACATAACGTATTTATATGGAAATAATTGCTTTCGTCGTATTATTTTACGTTTCACTATCACATACTTACAAATCTTGACACTAAATGATATGACAGTTACACTGCTTATCTATGTTCAGATCTATTGAATCGCGATTTTGAGCTTTATGAAAACTCTAAAACCATACCTTATCAATAAACTTTATTCAGTATAAAATAATTTTTAATAATAATTTTTACTTCACTTTCCCAGTGGAACATAGGGCTTCAAGCTAATGGCTTGAAGTTTCTGTGGCAGTGTTTATTTTTACAGGATGGGGTTGCTAGCCTCATGCCCAATCTTTCCTCTTTGCCAGCATTTTTTCTGGCTTAGCGAGGTAAAGCAGTGCGTCAGCTGGGGATCGAACCCCAGACCATATGCATGGTCGGCGAGCGCGCTAACCGCTGTGCCACCGACTCACATGACCTAAATGTCATATCATTTCTACCACTAGTCCCAGTGGCGTGTGTATGGCTAAATGAGAAAATCATCATCGTTCTAATAATACAAAAATTTCATCTGCTTAGCATTCAGTTTATTTTTAGCCGATCGCTTAATCCCCAGTTTAATATTGGTGTTGTAATTTATACTTTTAGCTTACCGCAAAAAATTCAAAAAACGATCTGTGCAATGATGAAAGTAAAGACCCCACTACTGATTCCAAAGAGAACATACCACAAAAGTTTACTAAACGTCCTCCCAGTCAAGATGATGATCTCAGTCCCAGTGTTTCAAAGAAAAAGCCTTCTGATTTCGGGGTAAAAGCATCCAAGAGATTATCTGCATTTGCTTTCTCACAAAATTCATGAAAACGAGAAATAGGAGATGTACTCATCAACACTAAAATCAATTTTGTACATGTTACTCCAGTTATATTGTCACACTAATCAGTGTATTTCTTATATGAATGCCTTTCTTAAACTCTTTATATTGTCCCTTCTTTGTATCTTATTTCATAGAGTATTTGCATAAAAGTGTAATCAGAAAATGTGAAATTCAGCTTTTTTTTACCATTTTTCCCAAAACGCTTAAAAAGTCGCATAATTATCATTGGGTTTGAAACAAACACAAGGGAAATGCTAGTAAATATTACTACATCTTTTCACAGGTGTAAATATACTGTCATTATATGTAGTACACAGGTTTTTAGTTTCTTTGAAGAAAGTGGTGCGTCCTCGATTTTCCCGTTAGTCATTTATGCGAAGATTCACTTTTAGAACCTGACTGACATTTCATGAGAAGCTTATCTATCTTATACTATTAGTGTATTAGTTAACAGTATTTGCATTACAAATACGGGTTCATAAACGACGACAGCTTCTTCAATTGTGAGTTGTTCTTTTTTCTTATTTATTTACGTTCCCAGTGGAACATAGGGCTTCAAGCTAGATGCTTGATGTTTCGGTAGCAGTGGTGTTTATTTTTTACGGGATGGGGTTGCTAGCCTCATGCCCAACCTCTCCTGTTTACCAGTCTTATTACTGGCTTAGCGAGGTAAAAAGGTGTGCCGGCGGGGGATCGGACCCCAAACCACATACGTGGTTGGCGAGCATCCTACCGTTGTGCCACCGACGCATCCGTTGTGAGTATGATAGTAAAATGAATTTATTCCTTTTCATGTATTCAATAATCAAATAGATTTGTATTTCAGGATAAAAGTAGCAAAGTGTTTGTTCCTTGGTGTGGTTTTATATTTGATGATGAACGTTCCACGTTCAGACTAGGGGCGTAACGATGGATTATTTTGGTATCTCTGGGGTATTCGTACATCTGATTATGCGATTGTAGGAGAACAAAGCAGTTTTGACCTAAATTAATTAAAAAAACATGATTTTTTTTCGGTGAACAAGAAGAAACGCTGCTCTATGGAATTTATAAATGTTCACGATATCAAGGCAAATATAAACATGTGCTAATTTCTGATATTTTTAACGAATGATGAATTATTCCAACTGATAATATTCTTCAGGTTGTGCTATAAGATTCCTGAAATCAAGCTTAAATCTCTTTAATGGCGATAAAGATCCTATCACCTCTAGAAGTAAACATTCATTGAATCAGTAGTTTATATCTGAAGAAAAAATATTAAAATTCTCAAAGAGATTTAGAGAAAAGTGAAAATTACAAAGACACCGTTTAATTAGATTGTGTTTACTTATATCATTCTGTATTCGATCTTATTTGACCTTCATTCTTCATATCGCCATCTCTTCTTCCATCTCCTGTTGGACTGCTGCTTAGCGTCTTAACTAGCCTATCGTAAAGTGGATCACCCAAACCGACTGATATCCATGTGATTAGAATGAGTGCTGTGCGACCAGCATCAAGTATTAACCAGATTTTCAGGGAACTATTCAGTTCACTGTCTGTATTCAGTAGATAGTTTATTTGAGTATCACTTTTGTAACTAGTTGTATGAAGAACATTATCAAACCAACTCATAGAATTATTAATTATAAAGCAAAGCATGTAGAATATGATAGCCATAAGACCATTCTAAAAAAAGAAGGAGAAAAGGATAATTCGATTAATTTATGTCAACCTAAAACATGAATTATCTGCTTGATATCGTCTACAAAAATCCCATAGCTAATATTTAATGTCGTGACGAAAGTAAACCATATTTCTACACATCAACCTTTCCATTTAAGGACAGATACTTCGATTAATTTGCAGTTTGTTGTGAATCTTCAATTTTACTGATGGCAAACGTTTTGTGAAGTCAAGGTTTGAAGGACCGAATATAATTAAATCAATTTCTAATATGTTCCTTAGACTTCTATAATCATAGAAATTCCTCTCAGAACTTTAAACTCCATAGTACTGTTACTTATTATTTTATTCCTTTACGTTCCCAGAGGAACATAGGGCTTCAAGCTAGAGCTTTGAAGTTTCAGCAGCAGTGGTTTTATTTTTACGGGTGGGGTTGCTAGCCTAACGCCCAACCTTCCCTTTTTACTAACCTTACTACCGTCTTAGTGAGGTTTGGGAGTGTGTCCGCCCGGGGATCGAACCTTGGGCGACATGTCTGGTTGGCGAGCGTTCTACCGCTGAACTACCAACTCACTGTACTAATTTTGAAATGCTTTAGGAACTTTTCAGTATAATCAGTAACACCTTACTTGGAAATCTTACGAGGTGAGTTGGAGAGAACAAGATAATGCCATCCCATTGTTAATTTTGGTTAAGAACGTTCAGACAACAAAATCGACAGATCTGTCCAGCCTATGGTAAAATGAACGTTTAAATAGATAATAGTTTACCGAAATCTAGAAAAAGTCATTGAGACCTACCGCTATCTGTTTTAACTGCCAAAAAAGTGTTTGAAAGCCTAAGACAATCCCCATATTTTTTTAAGTTGATTGGAGAGAACTGCCTAAATATCAGTGTCATATTTTTACCTGCAGTAATCCCTGAAAGGTATATACATGAAATTTTTGATTGAATAGTAAGGAATGAAATAAGTTACATCTATTTACACTGTTAATCATCATTTTCATATAAACATGTTAAATACGTTTTTGGTACAAATAAAACAAAACGTATATCTACCTGTAGTCTTACACATTTTTGTATACAGTTTATCGTTGGTCTTCCCAAATCGAATTTCCCGAAGATAAAAACTCCAACTACTGCTAATGATGCATAAAATGTTATTGAAACCGGTCGAGCATAAGCACCATAAAGTCTTAAGAGTAAATAATATTGATTTGTACTACTTCCGATTTGTATTGCATTAGCTAATGCTTGTACAAACAAAGTGTGTACTAAACTTGCTCCAGCTAGTACACCAAATAATGTAAATGACAACATTTGTAATGTTTCATGGATTTTAACAACAAAATACAATCCTGGATTATTTGACATGTTTATCAGTCTTTGCTTATCCTGTGACTTCAGTTTTGCAATTGATTCTTTCTGTTGCTTAGTGCTTATGTTCTTCTCATAGTCTTTTAAAGGTTGGGCACGAAAACCACTCCGATTTTCAAGGTAGACATTCGGAGCAAGGTTACTCTCAGGGAATTTGTGTACACCGTCACCTAGAAATTAATTAAAGTGATAAAAAATTAACTAATCAAGCATTACTGATGAATGTTGTTGAGAAGTGTTTTAACTATTGCAGACAACACAGTGTTGGATCTCACACGAAACTGAATCCGTGATAATTTTTGTAACAACACAGTGAAAATCTCTAAGAGAATTTAACAATTAAATAGTGATTTCATAAAAAGGTGGAAATAGATGTATGGTTTAGTTAAATAGGAAGTGAATACATCCGTAAAATTTAAATTAGGTTTGTACAGAGTCCTCAGAGTAGTCTGGTTTTCCTTCTGAGCTACTAATCACGTTTCACTTCAATTTATTCCAGTAATTTGTGGACGACAAGTTACAACTTTGAGTGGGGAGCGTTTGCGGTATAAAATTAGATCACTCTATTTCACAGGTTCTCATCAGCTGCAAACTACCTGAATTTACAATGGTTATAAAAGGATGAAAATAACATACTTCATTGTTTGAATAATGGTAGAGAAAATATCGTAAAATCAACGTATCCGCCATATAAGCATTAGAACTTTTGGCTTAAGTTACTGTCAGTTTATATGCTTTCAAAGTAGAAAGGAAAAAAGGGGAAGATAGAAAACAAAATCTAAAAAAGCATTGTTGGCACGTAGGTTTACGTGGCAATTCAAGAAAATTGCATAAAATTGGGAACCTGCTCAATGAACTGAAATCACTAATATGGATGACTAATCAATGTCATCAAAATGCAGTTGCCAAGGGGGTGAGAGATTGATTACACTCTTTTTTCTGTATGCATAAGTTTGGTTTCAAACGCTTGATTGCAACTGCTACAGCAAATCATAGTAAATTTGCTGTTCTTTGATGGATTAAGGAATCTCGACGAAATGACCCATATCCACAAAGTGTCTGGTAATCACACTTTGCGAATGTCTGCTTCCTTTTAGACATAAGTCTCCCATTCATAACAGAAGCAGTATCACAAAAGACTGACTAGAGAATGAAAAGAGCAATAAAAGGATGCATAATGACTGATAAGACAGAATAAATATGATAATTAGACACGAGTCTAGGAAAGCTTTTATTCGACAAGTTTATTTCACAGTTCACTATTTATTGAAATTGGCATTCAGAATATAAGTATCATACTATTTTCCTGATAAGCAACTAGTCGAAAAGTTATAAAACATAAGGCTTTATCTTACCATGACTGTTTATAACTGGAATCTTTCTTGCTCCGGTTGCCTGACTATTTCTTCTGTTATTCACAGTTTCCATTTCCGACGCAATTGTTATGTCGTCCCCTAGAGCATCCAAAATTGGTCCTATATCACCATTATTTATCTTTGAACGCTTTCTAGCCTTCTTTTTCTTCGAAACTTCTGAGGCATCAGCTTTTTGTACTGATTCAGCGGTCTGACTCATTGCTTATCGCCTCTAAATACATTTATAAAACGAATGTTTTTAATTTAGATTAGTTCAAATTAAATCATGAAGACATCATCAATGAATAAGAACTGCAGTCGTTTACTTATTTTGTCAAGTGATCAGTTTCTGTAGATTTAAATTAAAAGATATGTTGTGATACAATTACACTTGCAAAGAGTTTATCACAGATGTTATGTCGGTCTTTGAATGTTTTTCTAAACTTTGCAACATCTTTTCAAAGATTAAAGTTCGTAGAACATAGCATTTTGTACACCTGTCGGTCTACAAATAAGATATTACTATCAAGTCTACATTTCGGGATTACTAACCCCTCACATGTAGTAATATTCTGCAAAAGACTGATATATAAAGGGAAACACGTATGAAATAGTGGTAAAGTGAATGAATATTAGATTAAGGAAAAGTGGTGAGAATGATAAAAGTCATGCATCTGCGCAGTTGTAGAGGACTTGAAGTCATCTCACAAAGAGTTCGTAATCATTAGTTTTTATTACTCAAAAAGCACTTAATACATCGTCTGCCTCTTTTAATATGATTCAGCCTAATAGTTACTGATCACTGAATTAACGTCAACTGTGAAATGAAGACGTCTAGGATCAAAACCTGTAGTATTTTTATGTGCTTGACTTTTCGCAGTGACTTTCCAGTGTTCAATTACAACTAAGATAATCGATGCGGAACACGACCATTCTTTGTCAGGCAACTGAACGACTCTTCGATATCAAAAATGGTGCCAGTTGAAAAAAGGTCGAGTGAGTTAACTACCAAGAACCGTTCTATCATGGGTGATACGAATTCTTAAATCAGTAAAATGCCCAGCTTAATGAAGTTTAAGGCGTTTATTGTCTAGAAGTATTGTCACTCTGATGAGCCGCGCACGAGTTTATTCCTTAAAATCAACTGAAAACAAATATTAGATCAAAATAATAAGAAATCTTTCACTGAAAAACTAGAACTCGTATAGATCCTAATACATGGGGAAGTAACTAAATAAAAATCCACATACAATTCTGAACAAACTGTTCCACTGCAATTTCTAACATTTTAAAACACCACAAAATATGAATAGACAGGAGTAAAATAATACTACAACCGAAAACCATGGGTCAGAAGGAGAAAGAGTAGTTTCATGACGAGTAGTTAAAATAATCAGAATCGCAAACACAACAGTTTTTATTCATAAATCGTTAGTTAAATAGATCACATCCTAATTACTGCCGAGTAGGGTAGAGTAATGAGTATAAATTACTACACTGCTTAACATTGTGCTATACGATAACAAGGATCTGGACAAAATTATATATCACAAATCATTTGATCTGCTTACTAGTCCTCAGATTGTTTTGCTACTAACATTTCTCGATTTACTGCTTATTGAAAGCAGTACAGATGGTCTTTCCTCATAAGAAAGATGGTTAACAACCCAATAAATTACAAACAGTGTTCTCATATGGTGGCGGGATACGGACAGTGTCTTCCAAAGGAATATGATTCCCACACTTCAATACTGCGTTAGCAACAGAATAATATATGTATTTGAACATTCTATTTCATGTCGTTTAATGTAGGCCAAAATCAAAAGCGCAGTGATTGGTTAAAGGATATAAAATGTATAGATATAAATAGCTGTTTGATCACTTGAAAATATACCTTGGCTTCCGTGTCTTGCCTTCTGCTGTTACACTCAGAATAACAAATCGTCTCAAGACGACTTGACGCGGTTGACTTATTTGTTTTAAATGCCATCTGTTCATTTATTTAGCCGGACCAAATGCATTTTGGCAGCTAATTGTCATGTCAAGTTTGGTGTACCAGAAGATCTTACTGAGGTATTAAATATGTTAGGTTAAATAGGCCTCAAAAGTCTTCAGTTATGTAGACCATGTTAGTCCTCCTGATCGTGGTGAGATAAATCCAAAATATGATGGAACGGTGCCTTCATAAACACACAGAGCTTGTTAAAAATAGAAGTCTGAAGGTTCATATTTATCAGCGTGATTAATTAAGCATGCAACTAGGAATATGAATGAATTGCACAGATTTATAAATTATACTAGAGATAAGCAGATGTATTTATCTTCTGAAACAAACAGAACTGTATTATTACGAGTGGCTGGATGACTGTGCTAGCTAACTAATTCCATCAGAGTTAGTACGTTAGTGACTGGGAGAATATAAGAGCGTATACATTAATAAAGCAAGCTAGACATCCGACTGCATATCGAAGTACGAGTAATAACTACAAAATCTCAGTTTCTACTGTTTTACGGCTTCTGAGCTCTTGTTTATTTAGAAGGCTCTAGCCTTTACTCTTTGATGTCACTGAAGTATTACCGGGGTTTGGTGGAAGCAGAATATATACAGTGCGTTAGTCAGACGTTGAGATAACAAAAGTGAATTCATAAAATATGACTCAGGTAAGAATATCAATAATATAGTGAGGAATATATTTTATGACTCTAACCATAATAACCATAACTTGATATGATTATGAGCAATATAGTGCTCATAAACACAAATTAAAATTTGTGTTAGAAACGTCAGCGGTTAATATTACCACAATAGAATGTGTGATTTATCCAAACACAGTCTTATCTACAATGAAGTTATACTCGTACAAAGTGCTCAAGTTTTATGCCATATACAGTGCGGTGAAACAGCAGTTAGGACGCTCGTCAACCGTGCACATGGTCCAGGTTTGATCCCGGCATGTGCATGGTCAATGGTTGGCCTGCTAAATTTAAGCTACCGATGTCAAACTGAAAAATTACATACCTGTATCAAAAGTACTGTGTGAAGTCAAGCTATAATTCAATTAAATTAATTAAACTAACCATAACGATTTGAATCCTTGGGAAAATTGTTTGGTGACAATAAATACGTCGTTGTTCTACTAAAACAAGAATCTGATGTCTTTCCAGCCTAATGTAAACGAAACTGATTTCTCTGTGCTAGCTTCTTGGTTACAAGATCAATGTTTAGGACTACTGGAAAACTTTTCCATAGTGAGTTCTACAACTAGACTGCCCCGGCTTTGTTTGAATCCAGAGTAGTGGTGCAAGGAATCTCCTTATGTGGTACATAAGAGACGTATCCTTCCATATATTTTTTGTTCGAAGTGATCGAAAAGATATCAAATATTAGCAATAATCCAATATCGTTTTTACGAGCTAGTACCAACCAATTTGATTTCTTTGTGCTAGACTCTTGATTGTGCGGTATAGGTCCCTGATCTTCGGTAAACTTCTGCGTTGCTTGTCCCGCCACTCGAATGTCGTAGCTCTGGTCGACTCCAAAAGGAGTAGTTCTGTGATTAATTATATGTGGTGTGAATACTGTTACTACTGTGAATGGAGTTGATCCTTTCACCATTTAGTCTTCCGGTATCGTCGTCTAAAGAAAAGAGATAATAATAATAGGTATAATTAGTGAAGTTATTCAGACTAACAGACAGAAAAAGAAATGAGAAAACGTAACAACAGAGCTGATTAAATTTGAAGAACAATATGAATAATGTATATCGGTAAAAATGATAATAATTAGTGTAGTTAAATTTGTCAGGAGGGTAAGACGGGAGAGAATGTAAAGAAGTAAAAGGACAAGTTTTATTGTCTACCCCTGAATGGTGTATGCGATTTTAAGGGGACAGGCCATTTAGATGCAGCCCTTGTGTCGCTGCATGGCTGTCCAGCCTTCGCTTAAAGGCGTCCACAGACGGTGCCATAGCTAGATCTGCCGATAAGGAATTGCAGGGACGGGAAACTCGCAGTGAAAATAAGTTGGAGCGCACCTAAGGCCCTCTGGTAAGCTATCCTTCTGGGATTTCCACGAGGGAGCCTGTACCTACCCAATGGCAGAACACCTTTGTTTGGCTGGTTCTGGTCATTTGCTTTCTTGTAGGCAGTAATTAAATCTCCCTAAGACGACGGTAGCTAAGTATAAATAGACCTAATTTCTTCAGCCTTCAATCATATGGTTTATTTCGGAGACTAACCACCCCTTTTGTTGCCCATCGCTGGACTCTTTTCAAGAAGTTAGCGTCTCTTCTAAGCATTGGGGGTGCAATAACATTATGCACTTCAAGGTGTGGTCTGACTCATGTTTTGTACAAGCTTAGAAAAAGCTCAGGAGTGAGTGCAGACGACACAGACCAATAAGGAAAGATGTACAAATAAATAATAAAACCTTATAATTCAAGACAATATGAAGGTAAAACAAGCAGGTAAACAAGTAGGCTATTCGTAAGTGTGGAGCAAAGAAGGATTAGTACTGGTAAAGCACGAGCTCATTTGATACCAAATAATAGACGGTGGTATGTGATTTCCAGGAGGATAGTCCATTTGGTCCCAGCCCTTCTGTGGCTGCATGACTTTACGGCCCCCACTTTAGGCTTCCTACGGAAGCTTCAGTATTCACAGCTTCCAGTGTTTACCACTACCCATCCTCCCTTGCTACACTCTTACGAATAGCCTACTTTCAGCTATGGCAGACTTGGGGCTAACGAGACAACGATAAGTTCTAACCAGAAGGGCACAGGGTCATGGAAGGGGGACACGGGGATAAGGAAGACCTGTATGCAATGAAGACGCCTCTCAGTTGGACATTTGGAGGTCCCATATTGAGCACTCATGTGTTATGTCTTGTGAAAAATAATGATAAGGACGTGGAGATTATGATTCTTTATATGTGTGACACGTAGTTTCGTGATGGTAGTAGCCCAGATACTTCACGTTCTGTTGGAGACTGGAAGGTAGCTGAGCTGGTCAAAAGCTCTTGTGTTTGAGAATGAACATTTTCCTATAGGTCTATCACAGGATCATAACGACAGCCGACTGATCTGTAAGCTCAACGTTGCTTCTAAGTGATCTGTGAGTCTATTAAAGAAGTCTGTCCTGCATCCAAATCCTTGGATTGAGTATGAAGATGTCATTAGTTAATGTATTACAAAAGGTTACTTGGAGAGAGTCATAAACCAT